GAGCCAGAGCCAGGCGCCTCCTGGTGGTGGAAGGGAGAACACAAAAGACAAGACAAACAGACGAACACAAAACTGGGATCCTGAAAATTTCAAGTGATTTTTTTTTTATCTTAATATCTTATTTTAAGAGTAAAAATACTCATTCCATTGGCAAACTATCCCATTTACCTACTCAAATTAAGGGAAATACACTTAATTTAAGACATGTTTACTTACTTCTAGATCGTTTTTCCAGTGTATGTACACATACTACTCTTGGGTGTTTATAAATTAAAGTGGTTTAAAGATGCTTATATGATCAAGATACCATGTGGAACAGTTTTGGTGGTTCTGTTTTTGTTGTAACAGTAGCCATAAGCAAACTGAAAAATAAAAGAAAAAAACGCTGTTACTTTCTAGATTACGAAACTCTGACTTCCCAGTTCTAAGTGTTAGTTAGATGGAAGACAGCTAGATGTTTGCATAAGGGCAGAGAAGCAGTCCTTTGACAATTGTGCCAGCATGGGGGAGAAGGACAGAGCTCAAGACAAATAAAAGCAGCAGAATAACCGGAATTAAAGCTCACTTCAGATGAACTCACAGGGTCGTCCTCTCAGTGTCCTGAAATGTCTTCTTGATTTCTCTGAATAAGATATTTGAGTGTGGTGAGTGGTGTCTGTTTCTTATTTAGCTGAATAATGTTTTGCTTTGTGTTTTTATTATATTTACCACAACCTATGATGAGAATGTCTGACAGTTTCTCCTGAACCCTGTGTGACATTTTCTTTTCAGACAAACAAAAGCAGATGATGGTGAACTCAACACTGGCTCCATATTTGATTCTGGGGGCTTACCTTGACATCAAGCAGTTCAAGTATTTACTGTTCCTGATTATCTTGTGTTTGTATATGTTCATAGTTGCCTCTAATGTTCTGCTCAGTGTGGTTATTGCTGTTAACAGGAGCTTACATGAACCTATGTACATCCTCCTCTTCGTCATGTTTGTTAATCAGCTCTTTGGCAGTACAAGCTTGTTTCCATTCCTATTGGTTCAGATCCTTTCTGATGTTCACACTATTTCTGTGCCACTCTGTTTCCTGCAGGTTTACTGTCTTCACATTTATGGAAGCATAGAGTACTTTACTCTCACTATCATGTCCTATGACAGATATCTGGCCATCTGTTATCCTCTGCAGTACAACTCCCGGATGACAAATAGGAAAGTTGCAGCTTTAATTGTTTTAGAATGGGTATCCTCCTGTGTCATAGTCAGTATTTACACGTCCATGAGCTACTCTCTAGACCACTGTAAAAATGTCCTTAATAGAGTCTACTGTAACAACTACTCCCTTGTTCAGCTGACTTGTTCAGACACAACGATCAATAACATTTATGGACTGATCAGCACTGTTTTTTCAGTGTGTCTTCCAGTTATTTTAATTATCTACACCTACATGAGGATCCTTAAGGTGTGTTACAGTGGATCCAAAGCGACCCGACAGAAGGCAGTCAGTACCTGCACTCCTCACCTGGCCTCTCTGCTCAACTTCACACTTGGAGTTTGGGTTGAAATTTTGCAGAGCAGGTTACAATGGAGCCATGCTCCAAAGATTTTTGAAATATTTTTATCTATTTATTTTCTAATATGTCAGCCACTGTTTAACCCTCTGGTGTATGGACTAAAGCTGTCAAAAATACGCAACTTGTGGAAGCAATTGCTTTCTTTTAAATGAACATCAGGTGATCATTTTCATTGTTTGGAGTCTGATACTTTAGGTGAATTAAAAATTAAAATATGGACATTCTGTTTCAGAAAGTGAGCTTATGCTAGTTTGAGTTGAGAACAAATATCCAAAGTAAACCTATCTGGTTCTGTTATACAGGGCCAGCCCAAACCTCCACAGGGCCCTGAGCAAATTTTTATTTTGGGGTCCTCTGTTTCTGCAAATAGTATTATGGTTTCAATCAACAGTCGGATGATCAAATCATTCATACACCTACAATAAACTTTTTGTATCTCTGGAAAAAATGTTTACTATCTCCTATTTGTATGCATCATCTAGTGTTACCAAACGTAATAATATAAACTAGTCAGCAGTTTATTTACAGTTAAAGTGTAACGTGAATTTTATGCTTTTTGCTTCCAACTGCAAAAGCAATGTGAAAAATAACCAACACTGCAAGAAAAATAAAACATTTAAATGGCTTTGGTGAATATAATTAAGAAATTGTTTGGTTTTTCTGCATTTGGGTCTGAACTTTGTAACAAAATGACAATTACACTGTAAAAAAAACATGAACAAAACTATAGAAATTCAAGAATCTTCCTAAATAAAGGAAATAAAGGAAAACGTTACCTGAAACCAGGTAGCACAATAAATAGTTCTTAAAACTCTGTAAATGTATGTAACTATATGCAAAACCATATCTTTACCTAGATATAACCAGTGGCGGATCTAGGGGGTGGCTACTTGGGCTACAGTCCCGGATGTTTAAAAGAGCCCCAGATCTTGCTTCTGAGCTGATCTGAGTAAAATGTGCAGTACTGGAATACACTAGATAGTAGCAGCAAGCGAAGGAAAACAGCCTGTAGCATTCCCGTGCAGAAGAAGTTGTCAACACTAGTTGTTGCTACAGTAACAGACTGATATCCTAGGGATGTGAAGCTCCGACTTCAAGACGTTCTTTGTGCCGGTGTTATATGAAATTCTGTTCCCCTTGTGTCGGGAGCGGGCTTTGAAGCCAGAGAGGCGGACATGGCGGATGGGACAATTTTCACTGCGCTTCTGATCGATTTCTCGATAAAAACAGCTCATATTATCATGTGTCGATTTTGTCATCTCGTTTCATCAGCAGCTGCTATTTACTAAATTTTAAAATAAATAAAAAATAAATAGACAAGGTCCTTTTTATGCTTTTCTGTGTTGTTCTTTTTTAAATTCCAAGAGAATCTGTCTTTTTCCAACCTTTGTCTCTTAAGCCTGACAGAAATAAAGGTCAGTCACCAAACACAGTTTTCCAACATGTAGTGAGTATTTATAAGTTTTCATCGGTGATATAAGAGGATGGACACTGGCTGATAGCAGGGCACAAAAATGAAGAATTCCTGAAAATATGAGAGTGTAGACTTTCTGGTAAATCCTGTTTTAATGTAAAATATGAGAGATTACTGGATTAATGAAACTACATGCCATCACACATAACAATTTTTGAGAATGTGGAAACAGTTGCTCTTTACAGCTCCTTTACAGCTCCTCCTCCCATATCCAAAGATATGGGAGGAGGAGAGGAGAGAATTGATATTTCAGCTAAAATAATCCATTACCCCTCCATAACATGGGAATAAATTAATTCACCTGCAAGTCTTAACTGTGTTAAATCAACAACAAACCCTGTGGATATGGTGACATTTGATCATTATTTGCCAGAAGTTTTAGAGGAAAATCATATATTTTAGCCACCTGATATGATCCATTCCACTTTGATGATCTATATGAAATGCATTTTCTGTTTAAATGTTTATCTAACAATTTACAAACATTCGGGGAAAAAAAGTTCAAACCAAAACCACTGGACTTTGTTTTCCAAGTTTGAAGATGTTTCTCTTTCCACCCAGAAAGATTTCACAATTCAAAATGTCTGGAGCAATGCTACTCCAGACATTTTGAATTGAGAATTGTAAACACATTTCATGAAGATCAACAAACCAATAGTCGTATTCATTTGAACGCTTTTGGATTTCAAAATATAAAATAATAAATGTCTCAAACATAATACAGATAAATAATAACAGTTTCAAAATTCACACGATTATATCAGGTGGCTAAAATATTGTATTTCCCCCTCATAACTGTGGAAAATCAAATATCCCCAAATCCACAGTTTGTCTTTGATAAGGAGGAATAAACACAGTTAAAAACTTGCAGATACCTTTATTTAATACCATGTTATGGAGGGGGAACTGATTATTTCAGTCAGCTAAAATATATGGTTCCCGCTCATAACTCTGGAAAATAAGGAACAAAAATATTCTCCTAGAATCCTAGATCCTCCCCTGCATATAACCTTTACTGTTTTCCTCAATGGTCCATTCACTGATCAAACCCGTGGTTCCAGCTTTTCTGTTTGCAAAGTCACTGAGGTAATCACTGTTAAAGATCTGAAAAAGAACTTTGTTGTGCTGTCTGCCTTGTCTAAATGACAGTGGGTTTGTTGAACCACTCCACAACAATAAGTAAACTGCAGTGGGTCCTGAAAGCTGCATGTTTGCTGAGGAAGACCTTCATGATGTGGGATGTCAATTCAACAGGTCTATAGTCACTGAGGAGTTTTGTCCGAGGCTTCCATTTCACTGGAACTGTCTCCTGGGTCAGACTAAGATTCAAGAGGAGCTGTAAAAAAAGCCACAGAGCTGCTCTGCACAACTAGTCCTGTAGAACCAAGCTTCTCACTTTATCTCTAAGGGAATGCCCAGCCACCTGGTGGAGAAAGCTCATTTCAGACACTTGTATCTGCAATATAGTTTTTTTTGGTCATGATCTAGATTTTTGGATCACAGGTAAGGGTAGGAACGTGGATTGACCAGTAAATCGAGAGCTTTGCCTTTTCATTCTCATTCTTCACCACAAAATCTTGTGCAGCTTCTGCATTATAGCCACACTGAATGTCTATCACTCAGGCTCCACTCTCACCTCTCTTGCAAACAGAACCACAAAATACTTGAACGATGATCCTCTCTGCAGTTCTCACTACCCTTCTCACCTTCTTCCAGTCTGAGGCGCTGCAGCCTCCATACCACCAAATGAGACTCGTCAGAATGCTCTATATGACACTTCTGTAAAAGGTTTTGGGAATGGGTAGGGGCAGGTGGGCTCTCCTCATCCTCCTCAGGAAGTACAAGTGCCTTTGTGCCCTTTTGATAATATATCAATACAAAAAAAGACCTGACTAAAAACTGCACCGTTTTTGACTGACTCATTTTTTTAAACTGGCTTTTAATACTTGGGACACATTGTTTTATCTTTATGATTTTATGTATTTATTTTATTTATTTTTTATTTTTTGCAATGTTTTTATCTTTTTGTGAAGCACTTTGGTCTTCCTGGTGTTGCAAAGTGCTATATAAATAAACTTTGATTTGATTTAATATGTCAGAGGTATCTTGGTCCCAATGAAAACAGCAGCAAAATAAGTGCCATATCTTTTTTATAATGTCAAATAAACAAATAAATGCTTTCTAAACATGAGCAAACTGTGGCAGCAAGTCATCAGTTATAAATTCAACTAGTCTTAGCCCACCACAGCAATATCCACTTAGGTCTCTTAATCTGACACAATATACAGCTGCAACTTCTCTTGGAAAGCTTTTCATGAGATTTTGTTTGTTTATGGGAATTTTTGACCATTATTCAAGAAGTGCATTACTGAGGTTACACACTGATGTTGGACAAGTTGCCCTGGGTCTCAGTCTCTGGAGACATTAAACCCAAAGGTATTCTATCAGGTTGAGGACAGGACATTTTTACTTGTACTTTATTATCTGAAATCAGTGTAATCCCGTCCAGATGAAGTGACTGACGAATCCCCTTTTTTTTCAAGCAGCTCTGGTCCAAAGACTATAACTTCTGTTTTGTCTGCATTCAGAAGGAGAAAGTTAAGAGTCATCCAGGTTTTTATGTCCTCGAGACATGCCTGTAATCTATGTAATGGGTTAGCTTCATCTGGATTTATAGACAGATATAGCTAATTTATCATCAGTGTAACAGAGTCCGACATTGTTTTGGTAACTTTACACACCGAAGCAACACTAATTTTAGTGACCTCCAAACAGCGTAAACAGGTGTCATTAGCGCCAGCGTGAATAACAATCTTACTGTATTTAACCTTATCCTTAACCAGCAGTTTCAGGTAGGATATGATGTCGCCCGTTCTTGCCCCTGGCAAACATTTAACTATGGTCCCTGGTGAGAGCAGGAGAGAGGAGAGGAAGAAGGAAGAGTTGGGAAAGAGTCAAGGGAGGGAGAGAGAAGTCATATCAATGCTAAGATAGTGCTAGCCTAGGCTACCTACTCCTTACTACCAGAAATAAAACCGTGTGAAACTGACACAAGTGCTCATTTGAAAAGTGCAGCAGAAGGCGCTATGGTTTAAAGGGGTTCGGGTAAGTTAGAGTTACTTAGATACAGAGATATCACAGAAAAGAAAAAAAAAAAAAAACTTAATTCAGGCGGAGATAGTCTGGACAACAACATCCTCCTTCAATTCAAACAGGAAATGAATGCAATACATCTCACCAACAGCAGCAGTCTCTCACAAACAGCAGCAGATTTCTTATCTTGGTTTTAAATACAGTATATATCTAAATAACTACAATAATGACTTCCTGTGACAGTTACACTCTATGGCAGTTTATTCATATAGGGCCAATTCACAACACATGTCATCTCAAGGCACTTTACAGTTCACCAGATCATACAGTCAAATTGATTCAAAGTTTTCTATCTGGTTCCATTGCCTCATTGACTCTATCAGGTTGAGGACAGGACTCTGTGTAGGCAGCACACCATCTATGCAATCTGCCATCCATGTCTTTTTGGACCTTGCTTTGGTCTCTTTTTCTTGTTGGAAAAAGATGGGGCGAGCTCTAAACTGTTTCCACACAGCTAGGAGCATGGAGTTATCCAAACTGTCTTGGTGTGCTCAAGC